ATCAGTTTCCTCCAAGACTGCTTGGAGTTGGGAAGCAACTGCCCTCTCAAATACTGTGTCCAGTTCTGGGCACCATAGCTCAAAAAGGATGTTGCAAGCTGGAGCGTGTCCAGAGGAGAGCAACCAAAATGGTGAAGGGTCTGGAAACCATGCCTTAAGAGGAAAGACTTAGGAAGCTAGGTATGTTTAGCCTCCCTGTTTATGTATTTGAAGGGGTGTCATACTGAGGATGGAGCAAGCTTGTTTTCTGCTGTTCCAGAGAACAGGACCCGGATCAATGGATGCAAGCTACAGGAAAAGATATTAATGTAAACCATCCTGATAATATGGAGGAATTTCCGCCCCCAACTCAATGCATGCATTCTTTTTCCACGGCCAAACCTATCTTCAGGATGCTTTCTAATATAATCTGTCAAGGAGCTGAACAAATCAATTCCCTTTCTCCTGCCATTCTTGATATAACTTTTGCTTTTAATTGACTTGTGAACAGCTGGTCTCTCACCTGCTCCTGAGCATAAACTTGACTGACAAACATCTAGCAGTCACTGGAGTTCTGGTTCCTTAATAAAGCCATTATATTCCACTCCCTTTCTATAGGCTCAGCAGCCATCAGCATTCTGGTAATTCAAGGTACTCATCAGAAAGTAAGAAAAAAAGTCATTTTAAAATGTATAAATCTATTTTTGCTCATCTTAGGACATGTTTGAGTATAGTCATGATCTTAATTGTTTGATACCCCCCCCCCTTATTTCTAAATTGATTGCATTTATTTATAAACTGGAGTTTGCTATAGGGAAACCTTGGGACATTCTTAGTACAGTAAAGGTTCCTTGAAGATGGCTGGCACATGAAAGAACCCTTGCATTCTTTACAACAGGACTCCCTCTGCTGGCATAAGAAGGGATTATCTTCTCTATTGACAAGCTGGAATAGTCACTTCAAAAGTATTTTTCATTTCTACTGATGTCTGTACACCAAAGGCAATATGCATTATTGGACAACAAATGTTCAGCGAACAGTGTGCAATTGGCCTTAGTCAGGTTTCAAGTGCGAGCTAGGCACTTCTTTTTTAGAAGCACCACAATGAAATTTTCAATAGCCAATAATTTTAATGTTTTATAAAACAAAGATAACTTTCTATACACTTCCAAAACCTTGAATCCTGAATGCTTACCTCCACAACCAATGAAGGATTGAAAAAGTTCTGGTATCAAAGCCAAATCTTACATTCATCAAACATTACTAATGGGTTTCAATGGGTTTTACACAAACTTTATGGGGTCAGGTGGATAGACAAAATCTGTTGGTATTTTCACACAGGAGTGATTTTATTAGTTACATTTATAGTTTTAGCCAATCAAAAACTACAACAAAATACTACCAATTACATATTTGGGAGAACAGAAAATAAAATAATCTGGGGGGAAACAGAAAACTGTTCAGATCTTCAATAATGGATGCAATAATAGTTCTTAGAAATATTTATAGCTGGAACATCCTTTTAATGTTCTGTTCACTTACCTCTTATTGCCATCGCAGGTTCCAGGTACGTCACACAGAAGCTTGCATACAGATGTCCTTTTATACGTATAAAAGGTACAGCAGCATCGTGTTTGATCTGAGAAGTAATCTGCAATCACAGAATCAAATTACAGGAATTCATCGCAAAGACAATTGCTGAATTGAAGTTAAAACTTAAAAGCTCTATTTTTGGCACAAAGTATGTGGGAGAAAGAGAACATATTGAAGTTCTTCTTTATTATATTTATTCTAAAAAGAAACCTCTCCACAAAATTCATTTCTCAAAACTCTTGGGAGACATGTTAAAACAGTAGAGAACCCTCTAATGAGTTTATTACTGCTAGGTAAGATAGGTGTGAGTTAGCATGGTGTAGTGGTTTTAGCATTGGACTATGATTCTTTAGGCCAGGGTTCAAATCCCAAGTCAGTCATGGAAACCCACTGGGTGACGGGCAAGTCACATTCTCTCAGCCTCAGAGGAAGGCAAAGATAAGCTCCCTCTGAATCCATCATGCCAGTTTTCCTTTGGCTTGCTATAAGCTGGAAACAACTTGAGGGCACACAACAACAGGAAGGAAGAAATGTCTATCCAGGTCTTGGCTGTTCAGTAACCTATACTTCTGAAGTTTACAAGTGGGGGTAATAAGCAATGCAGATTAAAAATATCCAGACAGGCACATTTCTCATCTCAATCAAGGGGGACAAAAGTTCCTCACTCCTGGTCTTTTGCCAAACAGGTTTTAATAAATAATATGCTTTCATCATATTAATTTTCATTTGGAATTGCTTAAATTATTTTTGGGGGACATCCTGTGTGCTGCTCCAGGATCTCACAATAGTGAAATAAAAATATCTTAATAACTGAATAAACACATTTCAGTTGACATGCATGAATACAGCATATTCTTCAGACCTGCTGGTAATTTGTCATATATGTGTGTGTGTGTGTGTGTGTGTGTGTGTGTGTGTGTGTGTGTGTGTGTGTGTGTACATTTTGATTTGCAGGCACTTTAGCTTCACCTGCTTCTACCATAGATAAGCAAAAACTGTTCTTATGGAATCAAAAGCCAGAGAGATGCTACAGAAGAATGCACAGGTGGTTTAGGTTCACAATATTTCCAGGAGTATCTTTGTTACCAAATGAACTTCTATGTCTGCCAAGGTGGTATCCTGCATTGTGTGCTGACACTGGCCATATTCACATAAAAATGCAAGTGAAAATTTCAGACAATCCTGTAATTCACAAGAAAGCAAGCTCATAAATAAAGGTTTTGTGCATTTTGGAATATTTAGCATTTTGTTGTATGGCAAACATAGCTGCCTCTGAGTGTTTTCAGGCTTGTAAATGTTACCTGTCCGTCCCTGCTTGACTCTGTCAGTAGGAGTGACTCCAGTAACCTGGAACTCACCAGAAGGAAAAGTTTGGTGCTCCCTTCCCATGCAAGTTTGAAGTTGGCTTGTACTTTTTGGCTTCTCATTCCCAAACAAATCAAACGTCTAATTCAGAAATAAAGCTGAGTTTCAGGGACGTGGAACTAACACACCAAACCTTCAACTCCAACTCCTTTATTTTTCTACTGTCCAACTCAGACTTGGACTCCTTCATAAATGGCAAATGTATATTAATCAGTAATATGAAATTTTCTGTAGTAAAATACAAGGTATTTCATCTCCATCCCATGAATTATAAGGCTATTTAGTTTGAAATAATATAAAATGTTTGATTAAAATTTCTGAACAACTTCCCTAAATCCATATTAAGTAAATATGCAACAAAGTGGAAATTTACCCTTGTATGTTTTTACTTTGAAGTCAGTATTAGCACATTTCTACAGATTCTGACTTCACAACCTGTAAGGTTCTCCTTGCTTCTGTGTTTTTGGTTACTAAAGCTGCCCTGGCTGGTGGAAGGCTTCAAGTGGGAGTGGCTAGGCCAGTGATAGTGAACCTTTTAGGGGCTGAGTGCCCAAACTAAAAGGCCTTCCATCACCAGTTGTTACCCAATTCTGGAGGCGGGACTTCTGCCCTCTGGAGGTGGGACTTCCAAGGCAGGACTTCTGCCCTCTGGAGGTGGGACTTCCAAGGCGGGACTTCTTCCCTCCACCTTCCTGGGCCTTCAGCTGCCTCTCCAGAGACAGCTGAAGGCTGGGGGGGGGGCGAGGGGGGAAGAAGAGGAACAGCTGCCCAGAGAGGCAGCTGAAAGCCAGAGAGGGTTGGGAAGGAGGAGGAACAGGCACTTGCCTCTTCCTCCTCCCATCCTCTGTGTGACAGAGAAAATGGCTTTACGTGCCATTTCTGGCACGTGTGCCATAGGTTTGCCATCATGGGACTAGACAGAATGCTCCATCTGTTTGTTTTGTGCAAATACTATTGAATGCTTAGGTTAGACTAACTGGCTCACATTGGTACATGATTTACAGAAATTGTTCCCCAAAGTACTACTACAATTATATTCTTTGTAAAATAACTGAAGAGCCCTTTCTAATTGGTGGGCCAATAGCAAAATGAAAAATGTTTTAAACTAGAATGTTGCAGTTTTATTTGGGAAACTGAAAATCTAGTAATATAATGTTGCACTAATTCTGCAGTATAAACCTGGAGGTAATCTTCCTTAAATCTCTGATAGGCTGTATATACTTCAAACATTTAAGATATTAATAATAAAACATGTATTTTCAAATAAAATATCATTCAAGGCATCTCTACATCTGGAAAGATACTACTAAGGAAGAAACACATTTCTGAAAATCAACAGATTTGCTTGCCTTTATTTGGACTGACACATTCATTGTATGTCACAACTTCCACTGATCAATCAATGAGGTTTTTTTAAAAAAAAGAAATTTAAAAAAACTGGTACTTGCCAGTAGTGTAATGGGGCTTATATAATAATATTTTGATGAGGCATTAAAAATGCTTACTACCTGGGGTCCAAAACTTCCCCATTCCCATTCCCTCCCCATCCCATCCCTTCTCACAGCTTTGATTGCATTTTATAAAAAGCATGATTTAATGAAATGTTTTCCAGTGGCTGAGTTACTTTCACTGCCACACAAAGAGGATAAAAAAGACCAGGATTACTTTAATGTAAAAAACAACAAAACAAAACAAAAAACAAAAAACAAAAAAGTTGATATGGTAACACTACTAGTAAAGTGGATAATCACAGAAACAGAAGGGTTTTTTTTGCAGGCAACACTGGTTGGAAATAGTAAAAACACTTGATGAGTGAAAAACTGTGAAATGCTAACTTATATACAAGAGAGGCTAAAAGTGGCACTGAAAAGCAGTCTCATGTGACCCCAAGTTTAAACTCGCCATTATCTATTGCTTATTTATTACATAACTGTAATAACACTTATAGATAGACAGATGTGTAAAAATGAGACATTGTGGAAAACAGCTTTTCATATGAAACGTAAAGTGTACGTTCGTCCAACATGGAATGTACAACAGTCACTGTATTTACAAGTCTCCCTTTCAAGGTCTTCACTTTACAAAACCAGCTAACTGTCCCCAGCAAGTAAGCTGTATATTTTACTGACTTGGGACACGCTTTTGTATAATCACCACCAAGTGTGATTTTTGTTGTTGTTCAAGTTCTTCACAAAGGCTTACTTTATCAGTCCTGAACTGTCAAACATGCCCAAATGCCACGTAGGAGTCAAAGCCCTGATCCTTATGAAGGATGAGATTTAGTTGTTAAATTTCAAGGGATACCCAATGGCTTTTTCCAGGCACTCTACCAATGAGCCAGCGGAAAGAAAGTCCCTCTCCACTTCCACAAATTTGATGTAGATGGACTTAGGAGAAATCCCTGGGTCCACAATGCAGTTTTGAGATAAAAATCCATTAATTCCAACCCACTCTTTGCTGAAGGTTTTGGTGTTTGCCTGAAAGTGTAAGAACAAGCACTGCTGAAGAGTTCTAACCTCTGCAATGCCAAGGTAACAATATATGATTCGGGTAGACTGCATCTCCACTTTGACAGAGGTTTGTGTCAAAGGCATTTCCACTTCCCCCAAGGTCTCATTTTCAGGGTCTTGGCTGATGGTCTCATGATCAGGAGACTGTGGCTTGTCATGACAATCTTCATAACCAATGGCATACAGACCAGGGCTTTTTGGAATGCCCCCAGGTAATAAATACTGGACAATATTTCCACCTGTTGGCTTGGAGTGAGCAATAGGTATCCAGTCAATCTCCATGTGTAGCTCTAGGCACCGGGCTTCGCTAATAGTGATCTCCAGAAATTTGTAGTAAACATTCTTCCAGTTCATTTTCTGTACCCTGGTCATGATTATCCTGCCCTCTGGCTTCTCTGAATTGAAATATTCCCGGAGTCGCTTGCCAAGGGGAACTTGTGAACTAATCTCAGCATAGTGGTAACGAATATCCTCCTTCCACCGTGTGTTATATCCAATGCCAAATATGGCCAGTTTGTTAGAAAGATGTAACCTAGAGAAGTCTGTCCAGCTCTGAAATAATTCCCACTTTAACTGTACAGATTCCAAGATTTGTACAATATTCTGCATCATATCACGTTTCCTTAAAAAAATAAAAAGAACAAAGTATGAGATTTGAAGCAGGTAATCAAGTGGTTTACAAGAGCAGAAGAGGCAAAAGTCAGATACTAAATTTCATAAGCAGATAAGGGCATTGTACAGATGGAAAGAAGCTGAAGAAGCTCTGTAGCAGAGTCCCTGATCTACATTCAAGAGGTCCCATGTTCAATCTCAGGCATGTCCAGGCAGAACTGGGAAAGATTTATGTCTGAAAACCTGGAGAGCAAGTCACAGGCAAAGCTGAGCTAAGATGGATCTGTGATCTGACTTAGCATAAGGAAACTTCCTCAGGGCTCAGGAAAGTGTGGTCTTCTAAATATTATCAGACTGCAACTCCTACTAGCAAACCATAGCTAATAATGAACAATAATGGGTGTTGCAGTCTGACAACTCTTGGAGAACCCTATATTCTTCGTTCCTGTCTTAGGAGGCAATCTTTCCAACAAACAAGCAGATGTTGGAAGATGGAAATTGAGGGACTGCAGCACAGAACTCCCACAGTCTTTCTTTAGGACCACTCCTTTAAAGTGAGACTTTGGGACAACTTAGATTGTTTATCTTACTTCAACTGCACTGTTAATATGTACCCAGGTGACATTAAAAAAATCCTACAAAAACCCTAAATGACTTGAAAACAAGATACTAATAGGATAATTCCCTTTCATACAATACCATCCACACAACTACCCAAATTATGGGAACACATCTTTTAGTGTGTGCCATCATCAGGACTTGTAACTACTTGAAAACTTATTTTTTTCACCAGGCTTTTGACCTTAGTGTTAGATGGAATGGCTAGCTCTCTTCTTCTATTATAATTCTTGATTTTTATTGTTGACCTGTAGTCGTTTTGCTCTTTTTAATAG